CAACAATGATGATCTCTTCATTCTTCATGCAAGACACTATTTTCTTTCTGGAAGTTTGTCTTCTCATAAATGGTCTTCTGTTACGTGAGCTGAGAGAGGGTGACTGTTTCAATACATCAGACCTGCTTAATTGGACTGGTTGGATTGCTTGAATCCCAGTAGTTTGTTATTCTGCAATAAGTAGCATTATACAGTAGACCTAGCTTATTACTATATCATTATTATTACTATTTTCTGTGTTAAGTGTAGCGTTTATTTTGGCGTGCTTATCTTTCCCCTAGCGAATATGGTGCATGGCTTCTCTAGTCTGCACTGATATAAGTTTGTTGTGTGTTGAATTTGCCTCTGCTTGATATTCTGCAAGTCCTTTGGTGATGGAGTTAGTATTGACTGTGCTATCTTAACTTCCCTTTTTTTGAAAATTGGATTTTTTTCTTCAATGGTACGAGATTGGTGGTGCGTAGTTCTTGCTGGTAGAGCCGTAGAAGTGCAGCTATAGCCAAGTTTGGATAGATGAGTTCATAATGGGTAGCCAAATAATTTAGTGGTAGTTGATTTTTGAGAACAACATAATCATTTCCCCATGTATTTTGGCCTTTTTGTGTTGTACAGGAGATGAAGCTCTCAAGTAAGGTGTTTGATGAGTACTTGTTCACTCAAAGTGGAGTTGGCATGCAATCTTGAAACCGGAAATGGTGATTCAGACCAGACCAGACCAAGCTGCTGTTGTTGAGCTCATTCTACTCACAGCCAACAATGGTATGTTTGGGGTGCATGCAAACACCTCATCGATAAATTCCATTAGTTACAAAAAAGCTTTAGCCAACTTTATACATAATTATCTCATATAGGATACTAAAATCAAAATCATGACCCTATTTCGAAGGGAGATTTTGGGGGGGGGGGGGTTCATTTTGTGGGTAACTTTTTGGGTAACTTCTTCTTGTCCCTTTTTCTTTCTTTCTTTCTTTCCCTTAGGAGCGATTTGGTTGGAGGGGGGAATAAAGAGGGAGGGTACAGGTATGCCCTCATTACCTTTTCTTTCTTCAATCCAAACAAGCACACGCAGGAACACTCCATTATCATACTCCCTCATCCCATATACTCCCCAATACCACCCATAGATGGGACCCCTAATAGAGAAACACCGACTTTGGAAGGGAATAAGAAGGTAACCCTACGCAGCTACGCCCTACACAACAGACCCGAAATAGAGAGAGATACTGATGAGAGCTGAAATGTTTAGGCAATGTCTCAGGGTCGCCGCCTCTGCCTCCGCCGCCTTCGCCGCCGCCGGAGAAGCGTTCATCTCGGTAGTCATGTAATCCCTCCCCCGTTGCTCCGCCTCCGCCGCCGGAGAAGCGTTCATCTCGGCAGTCATGTAATCCCTCCCCCGCTGCTCTCCCTACAGATCTTCCTATTTTAATCGTCCGTGATATTTTTTTCAGGGCTGCACAACGTCTTTCGCTCCGGCGACGGATGGTGCCACAGCTTCTACCGCTCTCTCTCCGGTGACATTGCAGGTAGCGTCCTTTCCCTGCGGTTTTTTTATACAGAAGAAATACTAGTAATATACGAAGTAATATTACTAAAGCTTAGTTTATTACTAGTATATTACTGGTATTTCTTCTGTATAAAAAACCGCAAGGAAAGGACGCTACATGCAATGTCGCCGGAGACTGAGCGGATGAAGCTGTGGCACCATCCATCGCCGGAGCAGAAGATGCTGTGCGGCCCTGAAAAAATATCACGGACAATTAAAATAAGTAGATCTGTAAGGAGAGCAGCTGGGGAGGGGATTACCTAACCGCCGGGATGAACGCTTCTCCTGCGGCGGAGGCGGAGGTTGCGACCCTGAGACATTGCCTAAACATTTCAGCTCTCATCAGTCTCTCTCTCTATTTTGGGTGTGTTGTGTAGGGCGTAGCCGCGTAGGGTTACCTTCTTGTTCCGTTCCAAAGTCGGCGTCTCTCTATTGGGGGTCCCATCTATGGGTGGTATGAGGGAGTATATGGGATGAGGGAGTACCTTCTTATTCCTATACCCTCCCTCATTATTCCCCCACCAACCAAATCGCTCCTAAGGGAAAGAAAGAAGTTACCCGAAAAAGTTACTCGTATATGTATATGCACTTTCTAAAACCCTTTCCCTCAACAAATTTAAATGGAAGTTCATCGATGATAATCATTTCTGCTATACCCTTCCTAAGTGCATCTGCGCTATACTTCCCAAAAGTTATTGGCACATTTCCCTCCCCATCAACTGTTCCGCATATTAACTCAGTTTGATCATCATCCCCTTTCTCACGAGGCAAGCTCACACAATTTTTTAAATGGTTTTTCAAAGAGCTTGTACCATTACTTTTAGTATTTGCAGCAAATTCTCTACCACAATGATCACATCTAGCTTTATGAAGTATAACATCATCTTTAGTAATGGTAAATTTAGTAAAATGCGCCCAAACCTCAGATCTTATTGAAGGTGCGCTCCTTTCCTTCCTCTTAGGTCTAGAAGATGAGGACTTTACCCTACTTTCTTCAGTAATTGATGCATTTTGGGCTTCA